AGTAAGAAAAATTATAAATTGTATGAATATTCTATTAAAATGTCAATATATATATATACAAAACATTGACATTTTTAATAGAATATTCATACAATTTATAGTTATAAAGTAAATATTATAAAATAGTTATTAAAATAAATGATATATAATTATATACATATATAATTACTTTATTTATCTTTTTTTATGGAATTGCTAACTTACTACATATGTAACATTAATATTTATATTTAATATACTTGCCAATATGTATAAAAAAATTATTTTATATATATATGTGTATGTTATATACATGCGCGCGCGCGTGTGTGTGTGTAGTTAAAATTAAAATTTAAAATGTAAAATATAAATTTAATATATTGAAATTTAAAAAAAAGTCTTTAAGAGAAATTATTAATAATAATAAAAACTTTATATAAGTCAGAAGGGCCCAACATATATAGCCCTCTTAGTACGAGTATGCTATAAAATTTTAGCATAGAAGGGATGATGCGTAGAAGGAAAATTCTAGCTACCTGCGCGTTTTATAAGAAATGTGGAAATCCCTGTAACAGAGTAGCATCGTGTGAAAAATCCAAATTTTGTTTCTGTAATAAAATATTTAACATAAATATTCGTAATTACTTCGTGTAATAAGAATAATAATATTAATGATAAAAGTAAAAAAAAAGCTATTTTTAATGTCGTTCTATGTGTATATCCAGAGAAAACAAAAAAGAATATCTTTCTAAAAATCCGCAATGTGTAAAGCATATCTATAGATTAATGGTTATGTTAAATGATTGACAAAATTTTTGAATATTGCGTGTTATTATATACTGTCTTAAAAAAACCCCCCAAAGATATAAATGTTTAACACTATTTATATAATATATAATACGAAAACTTTTTTTTCTTAAAAGAAAAAAAAGATCTTGTGCACAAGTTCACAAACTAAATACATTTATATATTTTTTTAATTATATATAATATTTAATATGCAAAACGTTTCTTAATATATAATATCAACTTCAGCAGCAGATAAAGGATTAATACTAAAACAAAAACTTGAATATGTTTATATGAAAAAAATTCATACAAACATATGTTCTATTCGACCTATTGTTTCAGAGTTATAATCATTTTTATGTTCCAGCAATGTGTAATTATTTTCATAGGAGGTAAAAAAATGACCACTTTCGCTTTGTATTTGTAAACAATTTTTGATATTTCCTGGATATTTGATTTGTTAATTTTATACATTTTTTCACATTCTATTCATCAAATTTAGTTCAGTTAGATTGTTCTCTTGCTAGGAGCACTTAATTCATTAATTGGCTATGCCTTACAAATAATAATGAATAAATATTCAAATCAGGAAATGGCAGATATGCATTTAATAGACTTTTATGGACTTAATGTAATTTAACCGAAGCAAGGCGCCTATACGTAAATTATTTTCCAAAACCATATCAGGTAAGAGAAAACATCACAAAACATTTCAAAGATTATATGAACATTTATAAAATAGAGATTCATTTAAGAGATGAGTGTCAAATAAAAGTAAACCAGTTAATAGTAGAATTGTTAAT